TGTTCATAACAGATAGTCAGTTGTTTGCACAAAACTACAATCAAGTTCATGCCCTTCTTTCCAGTCACGCGTTTCCACTTTACAGTGCCTGACTCCTTGATCAGCACTTCGTATTCCATTTCCTCAAGGAAGGATTCATATTCTCGCTCCAAATCGGGCGCATGGACTTTTCAGAAAGTTAAGGCCTTAGCCTGTTGTAGCTTTAATTGGAGGATTGCCACTCTTCTGTTTACAGGCTTCCATTGAGTGATTCAATCAGGCTGATTGGGTTGTACTGGAACATAAACAACGGTCTGAGCTCCCGTCATGATGTCGACACCTATATAGAATAGCTTCCAGCGGCAGAAATTCAAAAATCCAAAGCCTTGGCGTTGCTTTGACTAGACTCTATCCGTGTCGAGTACTCATGAAGCAGCTCCTGCTCTTTCTCTGAGTGAATAAATGTTCAGATTTCTGACTGTGAACTCCTTTTGTCGACATCTTTGCCGAGAGCATTATCTGACGTGCTATAGTGACTTCGCGCAATGTGCATCCTTCGTTTAGAATAGGATGCCTTACTTGCTGACTGTCTTCTCGATCTCCAACAGGCCGTTTCTATGCTGTTGCTATCTCTTCTGTCAGAGAGCGTTAGACAGGTTGTGATTGCAGGCTGTTTCAGTTCGCTAACGGCCTACGCGGCCCTTGGTGACCCTGCTCACTTCCGAGCCGTTATAATGTTCGATAGCGTAAATAGGATGAGGGACAGTTCGCTAAGTTTTACGGAGACTTCGCTACCGTCTTCAACCGTCCTCCTTTCTCGTTTCGGCTTGGCTGGAAACGGTGGAGTTCCATAACTTTTTTATAGTGTAATTTTGTTTTTTCTTTAGTAATAGTGGCCGTAATTTTCCTTTTGATTCGTAAGCAGAAGAATTCATGACCTTTGTTATAGCCTTTTAGTGATCTTTAAAGTATAAAATGCAAATTACTGTGATAGGGGTCCTTCGTTACTTCAGCATCTCTCTGAATACCTTACAGAATTTTTTGATTATCTGTTGCATTCTAGAAATTAAATGACAGGAGACTATTATTCTTTGCTGGCGGTATCGAAACTAGGGGTATGTTAGCAAATTCATAATACAGGGGTTGCGGGCTAAAGGATAGGTCTAGGTGTACAGGGATCAAGGAATACCCGTTGGTCGTCGAACTTGTTTCTGTTCGACCCAACAAGTGTTGTGGTTTTGTGGCCCTGCACCTCATTGGCCCAAAGAAATAAGGGACAGTGCAACTGCGTCTTGCGAATCCGGACAAGTGCTAGATTATCGATTGCATTTCGCATGTACGCATAAATGCATATTCTTTCCTGTCGAAGTGATGTGGCGTTTCTTCGAACTGTGCATCATATGAACTATTTTTGTAGGACAAAGCCTTGGAAGCGAAAACTTTCGTTCAGGGCGGACAGTCGATCATGAATCCATGGATTATCATTGGAGGCGTGGCGACGTCTGTTTGCAGTTTTAGCGAGTTAATTGAGCCATCCAATGCGACTCCCGGTGACGTATTAATAATGACTAAGCCGATCGGCACTCAGGTTGCGGTAAACGCTCATCAGTGGCTTGAACAGAACCCAGAGAGATTTTCCTCGATTACCCCTGTGATATCCGAAGAAGAAGTACGATACGTATACAGATTGGCTATGGTTTACATGGAAAGATTAAATCTGACGGGTACTGAGCAAAACATGCCGTTTATCACGTTTCTGCTGATTTTTTACTTTTCTTAATGCTGATGGTTTTGTCGATTTCAGCTGCACAGCTGATGCACAAATACGACGCTCACGCCGCTACCGATGTGACCGGTTTCGGACTGCTAGGACATGCGCAGAACCTTGTGGAAATGCAAAAGCAAAAAGTTTCCTTCGTCATCGATACCATCCCCGTGTTGTATAAAATGACTGCGGTGTCTGAGCACAGCGGTCGTTTCAATGTGCTGCGCGGATGCTCAGCTGAAACATCAGGTACTGTTTCGGCAAGAACTGAGTTTGCCGCTTGTTTTAAAGTTTGTGACAAAACAGTTATTGAAAGTGTTTAAGCTTTAAAACTTTGTCACCTGTACGATTAAACTTTGTCACCTGTACCTTTAAAACTCTGCCACATGTACGATTGTCGAATTCATGACAGCTGCATCGTACATCGTACCTTGGCATCCTGACGCCGAACCACTGTTAGGAGGGGACATGTCAGATGCGAAATACAATCAAGTTCACAAACGAAGGGTCGGCAGCATGTCAGTTACCCTGATTGCTACCCGGATTTAACATCTCTGAACTTAATGCTCTTCTATGCAATAGTAATATTGAAATTTTAAACTTATAGGTGGCCTGCTGATTGCGATGTCGCCTGAAAACGCTGCTGCTTTCTGCAGAGAAATCGAATCGATCGAAAAATTTCCCGCCTGGATCGTTGGAAAGGTTGTGGAGGGCGACAGAACTGTCCACTTATCTGAAACGCCAACAGTTATTGAGGTCGGTTAAAACTGCCGTCATTCGTTGTTGATCCGCATCCTTATTTTATGTTTTTTGTCACTTTGTTCCACGAGTGGCGAGTTTGAGCAGTCGCCAGTTTCGTGTTTCTGTCTGTTCTCTCGTTTGTGACGAATGTCCTGGAAACAAGTCAGTTGTGTGGTCATTCTGATTCGGAGAGAAACTGTATGTGAACCTAAAGCGTTATAAACGTGTTCACTTATTGCTACATGTACTTTTGGCATAAGCTCTTTACACATTCTAAATCAGAATTTTCTCTAACAATCTCTTTCGAAAAAAAAACTTTCGTTTATTTTCATTCCTGATGTTTTTGACGAATACAGGTCCAAGAGGCTGGTCATATGACGCGAATATACCGGCGTTAGGTATAATGATGTGCCAAACACCGGTAACAAATAATCGATCGAACAATTGATGGAATATCCGGTGACAGCTAAATGCGGCACTTGCCTGGAAATTGTTTGGCGGTTGTACCATTTACCTTCACGGACAGAAATTTGTACGGTAGAAAATGCGCTTCTATTAAGTGCATTTGCTTGCGACGTTTATCGCGGTGGGACGAAACGTAACAAATTTTAGACTGTTTTTACTTTGCTGCATATAAGCAATCCGGGCGACTACTGTTCTGTCGCTTTTAGCCTTAAGCAGTCATGGCGACAGAACCGTTGCAGTAAATATAAATAATTTACTCTAAGGAGGTAACGTTACTCTCTGTTACACTGGGCGTTGACTGTGTTGCACATCTACATCGTAGGATTCCAACATTGTATTTCGTTGAACGACTATCCTGAATATATGAATTTTATGTGCAACAATTGCACAGGTCTTCAGTTGAGATCTCTTGACTGCAACAACCACGGGTTACGTATAATTAGCACAGTTTATATTTCTGAAAAACCTGCAATATTTAAAATGAAACTACAGAACGATTCCTTAAATGTGAAGCTTTACTGATCGGATGCCATTTCGCGGTTGTCTCACGGTTTAGACGTTTTTGTGTCCTGTTTCCAAAACATTACGAATTGTACGTTCGCTCTTTTTCTTCGCAAACTATAGAATTGTGACGTGGCATATGCTCTGTAATAGCATTGACGTAAGTTCCATAATCGCTCTTACGGTCACGTTATAGCATGTTGTATTTACTGTTTGGAGTTTGTTCGAAGCCTTGCATGTTAGTAAAGTAGATACGAATTCTCATTAGTTAATAGGGAATATTACGTCGTTTATGCGTTAGACATGCGAATCCTCAGTCTGAGATACCAAATGACTGGCTAGAAGCCATTTGTTGATTCACTCATTTCCGCTCTTATCAATGATCAGTGGTACAATGTTTTCAAAAGTTTAACTTCAGACGCGTTTAGTTAAGGTAAAGCCCTTAACGTCGTTAGGTAGACAATAAATTGTAATATTAAAGTGAAAAGCGCCGAGAGACCTTTAAGCTCATTGGTGGTTGCGAAATTTGCTTTGTCCTTGACTCAATTACCCTGAGTTTTGACTACGTCGTGAAAGGAAGAACATTCATAGCATAACACATTCTTAGATTACATTCATTAAAAGGTCTGAAGGATTCTTATCCATGTTTTAATTGGAAACATCAGCCTCGTTGAACGATGCCCTTGATCTAATCAATGTTCTACAATAGTTGAATGTTCGTGACCAGGCATATATGCAAACAATTGTTCTTTCATGGAACGCTGAATTTTCTCAAAGTTTTACGTACGTAGATCTTATTGCACTTCAGGGTTGGATATCATACACGATCTTAAAGCTTATTGACAACGGTCATTTACTATACTCATTAAATAGGTTCTGACTGATTTATAACAAATATCAAGGTCTAGTTTAATTAGATATTTGAGAAAGAAGTGATATATTGAAGGAATAAAATTGGGAACGAATGATCTTCGCTCTATTGTTCTTGGCTTTATGATGCTTTTATGACAGTAACTGACGATCGAAGGATGATGTGAAATTCTTATATATTAATTCCCCAAAAGACATGATGAAATTTTTATTACGCTGTCTGCCCTCCATTTGCCTCTGAGTTGATATACTTTTTTCCCCACTTCTAGACAAAATATTACTGTACCTACTTGTAGTAGTTACCTAGTTCCTTTGGTTCTTATCATAAAATCATTATTTGCTTGTTCAGTTCGAAACAAAGTCATCTTCGTGAAGTCGAAATGTTGACGATGCATTCTAAAAGTATTTTTAAAGATCGACGTCAGCATTGTGCCCAAAATTATCGAGTCGAAATCTCATTTGTACTATACTTTGTTGCCATTTCTTTACATCATTACTTAAGTATGATTCAAGTCTGGTCCTCCCCTTGTACATGAGTTGTGATTCGCTGTTCTGTCCTCTGAAGATCTGAATAATATTGTATGATATCATTTTAAACCTATCCTCGATAACTCAGGTAACTTCTATAAAGAGGAATCGCAATGCTTAGTCCTTAACAGTAGAAAGAAAATATATTGGTGCAGAAGCGTCACAGTGTTAAAATGGTGTGCTAGGGGCGATTATGGGTCGACCACGAAAGGACCACAAGCAATCACATTGGACAAATGACAATACTTTAAGCCACTGGAAGAACTGACCCTCATCGACAAAGACCTGAAAGCTGTCACAAAATCACCACCACTTTTTTCGTGCTTGAACTATCAGAAATGGTAAAATTCGTTGTAGTGAAGTTTTCCAATGTGGGACATTTACATAGTCATCTATCTGAATGGGGGACAACATTTGTCATTTGCAGTTAAGTTGCAGACTGACAAAAGCGTTAGATTGACTTCAATGGTATGTAACCGTTGGGATGCCTGTCTTCCTTACACATGGATGATTAGGCGCCATTTGCAGCATCCGTAATTTCATGAACATTTTAATGCGGGCCTGATCCCCACTTCGGTTTTCATGCCACATTTATAGCTTGGTGATTACCGTAGCGTATAATCTCCTGCTTCCTGTCCTCGAAACTGTATTCGTTTATCTACCATTGAAGGAAGGCGAGTGATCGGATCGATCGAAACTGCGGTCAAAGACAAACGTGACAAAGTTTGGTGAATGGTATGGTATTTTTTTGCATAGCCAGTGGAGTATCCATCAAGGCGTGCTACAAGGTCAGGGGTGATCTTAAAGATAATCTGATGAAATTTTAACATATATGGAAGTGGGCGTGTTGTTCTTGTTACCATCGGGTCTGTTCCAATCGCTTTGAGTGCTGAGGTAGCAGCATATACTAGAGCTGTTACTCAGGACTTTTGATGGTCGCTAGATGTTAGGTTATTGGCAAATGACTGACGCGTAACAGGAGCTCAGTCCCTTCAAAGAATATCGCTGGCGATCAAAAATACGTAGATGAAAATTTTACGGTCACTCCTTTATCTAAGGTGCAATACTATTCTTACACATTGAAAGGAATTTTTAATTTTCTGCGGCTTAACTCAGAATCAACATTGTAGAGAGAAGGCAATGGCCAATGAACGGCACGGCGGAAATCGAGGGAGGGAGGCGACAGATCTCCTTTCTCAAACAGCATTGTTGCGAAAAGCGTGTATTTTGACTGCAACGAAATGCAAGCATAAGGATATTGTTGCTCTGTATATC